TCAGAGAAAATCTGAAATGAGAATTACTGGTTTGAACAATTTTAAATGGTTTACTATACTATTATTTTTAAATGAGAATTCAGTGTGTGGAATATCTATTGTAAAGATGTAGTATTCATTATAAATACCTAGATGTAAAACTTTCTATCTAGAAAAACTAATTTTCTCTGTATTATATCCAGACCTGCAGTGCAAAAAAGAACACTTAWTATTTAATAACTACAGTATTTCCTGCCTTTTTGATTTTGTTTTTCTCTTTGCTGTCAGCACAGAGTTTACAATCTTCTTTTCAACGCTGACAAAATGGGAATCAGCAAATTACAGGGACTGGCTATTCTGATGACAGCAGGAATCTCTGGCGCAATCTGGTGGGTGTTTCACCTTTGGTAATTATTCTCAGCTGCATTTATTTCCACTGCCCACATTGAGACATGTTCCTTCTAACAACACTTGGACAGATAAAATGTAAGCACTGACACAAAGCTGAATTCAAAATCCTCTTTTTACATTCCAAAGATGAAAACAAGCAAGTGTAAACACTTCTAATATCTTCTGTGAAATTCTAAAAGTACGATGAACTGGACTCTGGATATTCCTGTGAGCCCAGTGTGTGTTTCCATGTTTACACACCACAGTGACACCTCCAGCACAAGGATCCTGGCACAGTTTGAACTCTGTGGAGTGGCTTTAGCTGTGCTTATTCTGCACAAAAATGCCTTGAGTCTCCCCTGGTTCTCATTCTCTGTAGCATCCTGCTGCAGAAAGGYTTCTGTGCTGTGTGTTCAGTGCCCTGGAGCTGAAATGAGATCAAGTGGGGTTAATTCAGAATGCAGAGCTTGCTCTAACAATATTGGAGGGTTGTTCCAGCTGGAGGAATTAGGAAAGCTTTTCATCCTCMTCTRCTCTCTCTGCAGCACAGCATCCAYCACAAATGCTCACAGTTTTGTTGACAACTTAATCAAACTCAGAGGAGATCCCTGCACCAGTGAGAGACACAGTAGAAAGCCCAAGGAATCCAAGAAATCAGGTCAAAAAGGAGAGCAAGAGAGAGAGAGAGAACGACAGAAAGAAAGAGAGAGCAAGAAAGAGAGAAAGGAAGAAAGAAAGATAATGAGAAATCATGAAGAACATTATTGAAGGATTGTTCTGGTTGCAGGAATTAGGAAAGCTTTTCATCCTCATCTGCTCTCTCTGCAACACAGCATCCATCACAAAGGTTCACAGTTTTTGTTGACAATAAATTTAGGCTCACATTAGAGGAGATCCCACAAACTGGCCAGAGCACAGGGATGCTGTGAACACCTTGCTCCAAAAGGCATCCACACAGTCAGTTCCCTGCATCAGCTGAGACCAAGCTCTGCTGTAAAGCAGACATGTTTCATTTGGTTCATGTGGTCTTGGGCAAATTAAATCATTCCCAGATCCTCAGAGTTAATAGATCTTCAGGTAATATGAGGCTGGAGAGCTGTCTCRAAACAGCTGAGCTCTGCAAATCCTCATCACCATATTGATCCCACAAACCTGGGTTCTGTCCACTTTGTTTTACAGTTTCAGTAGTAAAGGAAGTGGAGAGGAGATTAATTTATTTATTTTTCTTAAATCATTAACTCATTCCTTTCTTACCCTGTCCAAGGTACCACTACCCTTTCTCCTCAGCCAAAGATGAGGAGCCCACAGCATCCTCTGAAGAGGACACAGCGCTGTAAGTTCATTCATTCTGCTGGGTTTGCAGGGTCATTCCAGGCCATGAGGACAAAATTCATCTGAAAAGGTTCATTTTTAAGCAGGATATGCRTGCCCTAGAAGTGCTAATTTCCATTTTGGGGTGAGCAGTGAGCACCTGCTGTGCTCTGCTGTGAATGCCTTTAGCAGGATGAGCAGGCTCCAACTCCAGAGACTCAGTCTGGGGAAATAAGAACACATTGGTGCAGCTCCCCCAAAATCATGAAAAGACAGATTAATTCCAGCTGGTTTAGACACCTAGGAGCTGGAGGAAGTCATCCAGGCTTCCTCTGAATTCATTAAACAAAACCTGAGCCCTTTGGCATTTTGTCCACTCCCTCTGATTTAGTGTCACCCACAAACCTGATGAGAACAAACAGATCCTGGACATGGAATCAAGAAAGAGTTTAATCTGGTGGTTCACCAGACTGAAATTTCCTGGGTTTTTAATGCTTAATTTCATTTCATTGAACCATATTTTATTTTTTTTTTTGTCTTATTAATTACAATTTTCTTCTCCCCACTGCCTCTTTGCCTTAAGGGTCCCGTCTTCATCCCTTCTTTTGTAACACACAGAGTTATGGAACTCTCTAGAAATGCTGCTCTAAGGAGTCTAGCATATGTGACTAGAGAAGAAATAAACTTAATTGCCAATAAAACAACATGGCAAAAAACAATCCATTATTTTTGTAATTAATTTTAAATTTAAAAGATTCTAGCATGAGACAGCATTTCATGACTAAAACAATCCATTATTTTTGTAATTAATTTTAAATTTAAAAGATTCCAGCATGAGAYAGCATTTCATGACAAAAGCAATCCATTATTTTTGTAACCAATTTTAAATTTAAAAGATTCCAGCATGAGAAAGCATTTCATGACTAAAACAATCCATTATTTTTGTAATTAATTTTAAATTTAAAAGATTCCAGCATGAGAYAGCATTTCATGACAAAAGCAATCCATTATTTTTGTAACCAATTTTAAATTTAAAAGATTCCAGCATGAGAAAGCATTTCATGACTAAAACAATCCATTATTTTTGTAATTAATTTTAAATTTAAAAGRTTCCAGCATGAGACAGCATTTTCATACCATGACCACACCCCCCCAAAAGAAAAGTTGCTATGGGTAGATATCTTTCTGCTTTTGTGTATAAGTGATTCCTTAAATTTCCCTCTATTAGCATGCTTAATCTATTACTTTTAGCAAGTGTTTCCACTTTACAGAACCTGTTTTTCCTGCTGGAAAAATCCAGGAATGAGGATTGGTGGGTTCCATTCGGTGACCCATGGACAGGAACCAGCAGTGACAAGGACAGGGCAGCGTCACCTGCTCCGTGTCCTGCTGACTCCACAGGGCAGGAATGCAGGCACAAAACCTCTAAACAAAATACAAACTCTGGGCAAGGTGTTTGGCCTCATTGCACCAGGCTTTCCCATGCAGAAATTTGATTTTCTGAATTTTCCAAAGATGCGCTGCAGAAGCAGAAGTGTTGAAATTTGTTTTAAAATTGATATTAATTTGCATTCCTCTCTATTTGTACCAACTAAGTAGCCTGTTAAATGTAGTTCACGTTGTTTATGAAGATGAACTCATATAAATAATAGAATATTTATTATTTATATAAGGTTGATATAAATAATATAATATTTATTTGTATTTGTGATGGAGTCTGGCTGGATYCTCACTGCATTCAATCACAGGGCAGTGATGCTGAAACACCCAAAGATGTGGAACTCATCTCTCAAAAAAAGAAAATCTGAAACTTCTGTGCTGTGATATACTTATGTATCTTTTATTTCTCCCTCATTAGCAGAAAAAGTGACTTAAATGAAGCATCTCCAATGCTCCCATGGTAAGTGTAACTCCTCTGGCTCCATTAATGTGATAGCACATTGCTCTCACAAAAACACAATTCTGTTTCTGGCACCGTCAGGACAGCTGAGAACAAGACTAAATGAACAGGAAAGGATCAGAAAAGGATTAGAAACTATTCTGTCCCAGGGACTATTAGAAATGTATAGATGCAGAATCTTTAATTTGTTTGCTCTCAGAAAGGAAAYGGAGAAATTATGGTCAATGTTGAAAATATTTTGGTTTAATTTTATCTCAAGTGATTTTTTGCATCCCTTGTCAGTGCTCATCTCAGAAGCTAAAAACCAAGAGGCCTTGGCTGATACCATTTTTAGTGAAACAGTCAGCATCAGGCATGATGTGTAAATGTCTGTGGAAGGAACATTTGAGGTCACTG